ACCCCTGTGCACGCTCTCTCTCTCTCAAATAAATAAAATCTTTTTAAAAATTTTTAAAAAGTAAAAATAAATAACCATAGGTTCAAAGTGTTTATTCTGTACTGTAACATGCTATATATACTTTATATAGGTTTACTTAAATATATAGTGCAGGTATTTTCATGTTGGTATACATATACCCACCTTATTCTTTTAAATGGCTATGCAGTACTCCAATAATAACAATAAAAACAATAATGGGCAGTAGTATTTATATAGTCCTTCACTGTTCCAAGTGCATTTATACTAACTCATGTAATGTTTGCAACAACCCTATGTGATAAGTTCTATATTATGCTCAGTGACTCAGGCTTGTTCCTGACTCTTGGGGTCTGGTCCTGCCCATGGGTCTCGGCAAAGTCCCCAAGAGCAGCAGAGAGTGTCCTCATTCCTCAGGCTTCCCACTGATTACTTCAGCCCACAGGGGAGACGGGCACAGAGGTCAAGAAGAGGGATTGAGGGCGCCTGGGTGGCTCAGTCGTTAAGCGTCTGCCTTCGGCTCAGGTCATGATCCCAGGGTCCTGGGATCGAGCCCCACATCCGGCTCCCTGCTCGGCGGGAAGCCTGCTTCTCCCTCTCCCACACCCCCTGCTTGTGTTTCCTGCTCTCACTGTGTCTCTCTCTGTGTCAAATAAATAAATAATATCTTTAAAAAAAAAAAAAAGAAAAGAAGAAGAAGAGGGATTGAGCAGCACCTTGAGTGGGGAGAGCCCAGGGAAGCCTCCAAGAAAAGACCAAGGGGTTCTGCTCCACTGGCTCAGCGCCCCTCACTCACTCACCTCAGCCTCGGCCAGACTGATCTGCCTCTCCAGATCCTCAGGAACCATTTTCCCTCTGGAAAAGAAAACTGATTGGGTAAAGAAGTAATTGGTTTTCTCAGCTAGGAGGCAGAACTGTTGAGAGCAGGGTAATGTGGGGTTAGCTACACAGAGGCCATAATGTTGATTTTTTCCTAAGAGGGGTAAGCGGACCTCAGGGGACAGGGCGAGAGACTCCAGCAGGCATTGACAGACGGAAGGGGCAACTGTGGAGGAACAGAGAGGGAGAAAAGCCCACTTGGGGCATGGGCCTGAGGCCAGAGCTTCTAACAGCAGGAGGGCATGCTGTGCCAGGCTGGGTCTGAGCCATGTGAACAGAAGGACCTTTACCTCTCATCTGTCTTGACTACTCGGACACTGTTGGTGCCAAGTCCCAGAAAAGCAGCTCCCTTCTTGATGGAGTAATGACACTATGGAGAAAGGCAGAGGGCAGGGAGGATAGGGAGGAGAGAGACACTGGCAAATGTGTGAGCTGCAACAGATAAGACCCTGAAGACCAAGGCTTCTCGAATGTTCGAATGTTCGTGTGCCTCCAAATCACTAGGATGTCTGGTTCAAGAGCAGATTCATATTCAGCGTGTCTGGGGTGGGGCCTGCGAGTCGGCATTTCTGACAAGCGCCCAGGTGATACTCTGCTGCTACTGGTCCACAGACCACACTCTGAGTAGAAAGGGCGTGGACTATGTCTGCGGCACTCATTGTCCCTTTGCTACCTCCACTCAGAAGGCAAGGTGAACGGGAGCGTTTACTCGGCCCCTTGACTGGAAGGAAGCACTTCTGCCTGGAGGCAGGCTGGCCCTGGAGATGGGTCTGGGCAGGCAGACTCAGCTGGCTGGACATTAGCATCAGGAGCCCAGGGTAGGTCTATGCCTCTTCCCACCTCCTTTGATGTGAAGAGTGCCAGGGGTGGGAGCGCCCGGAGGCCCCTCTGCTTGCAATCCGGGTAGCGCTGATAGCGGGCCAGGTTCACGGCATACATGTTGGAGATGGAGCCACCTGTCGCAGGGAAGGTGGTAAGAGGGAGGAGCCGTGGGTCAAAACTGGAGCTTCCTCCCCCCGACCTCTCCACCCAGGAGAGCTGATCAAAGAAGCATGAGTGGTAGGCTCCCAGGGATCTCCGAAGGGCCTGCTGATAACCCCAAACAGCCCCAGGATTCGCAGATTCCCCCGGACTACTCCCCTCCATATCCTGGGCTGACCCAGGACAGGGCCTCCCCTCCCCAGAGCAGGCACTGGAGTGCTGATCCCAGGGACTGTTTGGCAAACATGAGGACACAGGGGACTGGGCAGCTTCTCTCAGGTTTGGCCCCAGCCCAGCTGGAGAGGAAACAAAGAGGAATCCCTCCCTGCCAGCATAGAGCAAGAAAATCGTGGGGGAGGAGGAACTCTCAAAAAGACCAAAGAGAGCCCCCCCCTCCTTCTCACATACCAGGGCAGAAGACCCCATCCCCAGAGCTCCAGCCCACCAGGGCCCGGAGTTTCTTCAACACCTCTTCTTCCATGAGCACAAACACGGGGGCGATTTCATAAGTGTACCTGCCAGGAGAGGGGGGGGATGAGAAGGGAAAAGAGGAAGGCAGGCTAGCCAGGTCCGACTCTCAGAGGAGTAGGGAAAGGAGGTGGGGACAATGAGGAAGGAAAGGTCCAAAGGGAGGAATGACCTGGTGACCAAGAGCCAGGGAAGCAAGAATGAGGAAGAACTGGGGGTCAGGAGGCATGAGAAAGCTGGGAGAAAGGGAGCCCAAAGGGTACAAGGAGAAAGACAGTCGGCAGAGATGCCAGGAAACGGGGGGGGGGGGTGCAAAACCATTCTCCTCCCTACCCCTGGGGTATGTCTCCAGCAAATCCAAGCCTTTGTGAGGTGGGGGCAAGGGGCCTCGGGTTGACTCACTGGCTGGTGTTGAGGCTCTCAGTGACAATGCGCCCTGCCAGAGCATGGGGATCCAACCCTGAGAAGAGCTGGTTGAAGAAGTGCGGGTGACCTGGAGAAGGCGGGGGGGCAGGGAGCTCAGAGTGCAGCTGCGGACAGACAAACGGACAACTCCAGACCCTCCTCCCGCCACAGCCCAGGACCCACAGGTCTTCACACTATAGTGGATCACCTCCCGGCACCGTGCCAGGATCTGCTCCGACGCCTCGCCCTGGCTGCGCAGCTCCAGGTCCAGCAGCTGCTTCAGCTCCTCGGGCTCCTTCCACTCGCAGACCTGGCGGGAGAAGCAGGAGGTTCTGGGGGCCCATGGACACCCCCATTAGTTGGCTGCCCAAACCACCTCTCAGCTTGCACATAAAACGAGTTAGGAATATTTCCAAAGCAACTCATGAACAAGGGTAAATATACACAGTATGACCCAGCATATAATCCCTGATGCATTCAGCAAGACTGATGAATTCTGGGCTGAAGCCTTGTGGGAGGAGGAAAGTTCTGAGCCAGGAATGATGGGCAGGAGGAGAGGGAAAGGACCCACCTTCTCGGAGGCACTGGTCCCTTTCCGAATGACCTCATCCACAACAATCCCAAACACATCCCGGAGCAAGGCTTCTGCAGCCAAGGGGTCCCCATCAAGGGAGAAGAGTGGTTTAGAGTCAGCCATCAGGATAAAACCTGTGAGCAAAGCAGGAGTTACTCCCTAGTCAGCCCAGTGCATCCCACCTGGACCTAACCAGCAAGAACCGCAACCGCAGAGCAGGCCTCCGGCCCCTGTCCTGCAGCTGAGTCCCAGCCTTCACTGTACAGACAAGGGCAAGCAAGCGCCCAGGGAGAACGTCAGCAGCAACAGGTGGGGAAGAAGAAGGCAGTGAGTGCTGAGCAGGTGGAAACTTGCGGTCACTGCCTGCCTCAGGCAAAAACGACAGGCTTCCCTTTCCACTCAGGTCTCGGTTCAGGTGCGCTGGAGGCAGGGCGCGCGACTAGCTTTTGAGAGTATTAGGACCAGGACAGCGGAGGGGGTGAGGTACAGGCAGCGCTCACGTGACCATGAGATCACTCTCATGACCCTTGCCCTGAAGAGAACTTAGAGATTTGGGATAGGGACACCGGTTGAGATAAGTCCCTGAATAATCATTAGCTGACACGAAGAAGGGGGAAATGCAATGAAAGGCAGAAGCATTAACACCAGGGTTGAGCGAGCAGCCAGGAAGAATCTCTGTGAAGTGGAGGGCTGGAGAGGGGACTTAGTGGAGAATGCTTGGCAGGAAGCTGCTGCCCCTGACCCTGGAGACAGAAGGGGAGGGAGCCTGAGATAGGTGGAGGTGAAATGCTTTATCTCTTTGCACCCCCACCCCCAAAGAACCAGCCTGATTTCTAAAGCCCTCTCCTAGAGCAGGAAGGAAAGGGGGTATGTTGGGGAAGGATTTTGTTAAACAAGTGTAATCCTGGGTTTTGCAGCCTGAGAGTGCTCAATACACAGAAAGCGGTTGTCTGAAGTGAGCACCAACTGTGTTCATGACAGGGTGCTTGGGACTGAGAAAGTCTCCCTGTCTGCTGGGAGGGCACAGATGCACGTGCAGCAGTCCCAGCCTGAGCTAGGCTGGACGCTGACCGCACGTGCTACTGAGGAAGACAGATGGATGGAGGATGGCAGCTGAAGGCTGGGGAAGATCTGCAGCGGGGCTGGAGCTGAATCTTGAAAGAAGGCAGGAGAAATGAGATTAGCAAAAGGGAGAAAGAGAACATTTGGGGGTAGGGTGATGCCATGAGCTGACATGGGGAAGAAGTATGGCTTGAGGGAAGGTCAATGAAGGGCGCCTGGCTGGCTGGAGGGAGGTCTGCAAGGATGATACTGGAGCAAAGGCGGGGTGGGCAGAGTTGTATCAGATTATGGGGAGCCCTGAGCCCCAGCCAGGCCCAGGGATCTAGATTTTATCCTGCAGAAAACAGGAACTCACTGGGGCACCTGGGTGGCTCCGTCAGTTAAGTGTCTGCCTTCAGCTCAGGTCATGATCTCGGGGTCCTGGGATTGAGCCCCATGTGGGGCTTCCTGCTCAGCGGGGAGTCTGCTTCTACCCCTCCCCCTCCCACTCATGCTCAAGCTCTCTCTCTCTCTCTCAAATAAATAAAATCTAAAAAGAAAATAGGAACTCACTGAAAGACGAAAGACTTGGTGGCAAGGAATAATGTGATGAAACTGATGCTCAGACCAGTATACAGCACAGGGTGTAGAATTCACAGGGTGTTGCTGTAAACCAGGCAAGAAGTGATCCACATCTGAATAAGGGTGGTGTGGGTAGGAAAGGACAGAGGAATGAGGAGGTCGGCCCAAAGCTCTGATGAGCTGTTAGAACAGAAAGCAGATTTGAGAGTCAGGGTACAGCTGAAGCCTTGTGACGGGCTCCATTCCCCATGGGAGAAAATGTTCGGAGAGATGGCCAGGAGGAGGGGAAAACACTAAGGCCTAGGAACCCCCCAAATGAGTGGGCGAGAGGGTCAAGGGAATATGAAGAAGAAACTTCCTCAAAGTGGGTTGCTCTGATTTAATCCACTGTCAGCAGCCACTGGACCCCACACTAGTTGAAAACACAGGTTCAAGGAACCCTAGCGGTCCAACCCTTAAACTTTTCCTCAGTAGATTGGGTTTGGGGGACAGAGGGGAGCTGGCCCAAACCCTGAGAATGAAAGAGCCAATCCTTTATCCGTGTCACTTTAGCTCTCCTGACAGGTGGCAGCAGGGGGGCGTTTGGGTGGAGAGGCTTGAGGGGGAGAAGCAAAGAAAGATAGGTACCAACGAAGCACTTACCACATGCCACACTCTGTATTTAATATGTATTATCATCTTTACAATTGTTCAGGTAAGTTTATTGCCCACATTTAAACTGAGATTCCAGAGATGCCATGTATGTAACTGGTTCAGATCACACAGCCAGCACCTGGCCATGCTGGGTCTGAACCCAGGCGTGGTGGGCTCTGAAGCCCCTGCCCCTAACCATCATGCTTGATTGCCTCTCTCGAGGCTCTCTCAGGCCCTGAGTTTGCTGTGCTGCAAAGACCACTGGGCCAGGAGTGAGGACACCTCAGGGCCTCCGTTTCTATAAAATAAGTTTTCAAGAGAGACCCTCCAAGGCATCTGCTGGCGTTCACAGGAACTCAGGCCAGGAGATATGACAAGCAGGCCAAGGGAGAATTTTCTGAGTAGGGAGGTAGAAAACAGGTTGCAAGAGGTTTGTAAGGAGGGAACAACTGGTTAACAAAGGGAGTCTCCTAGCAGGAGGAACGCTTTTCCCCAAGCTCCAAAGAATGGGTCTCTAGGGGAGACTCCATCCTCCCCTCCCAGGACCTTCTTTATCCTTTCCACCTCAGTCACAGCTCAGAAATGAAATCTGGAGGACTCTGAACACTCCCAGTTTCTTCCAGGGATAAACAGAGAAGTGAGACATCACCATCCTTGTTCCACATACAGAATCCTGCCCTGGGTACCTGAGAGAGGGAAGAGCCCCTGCCTGCAAAGAGTTTTTCTTTTCCTTTTTTTTTAATTTATTTATTTGAGAGAGAGAGAGCTCGCATGCGCGAGCGTGGGAGTGGAAGGAGGGGCAGAGGGGGAAAGAGAGAATCTTCAAGCAGACTCCCCACTGAGCACAGAGCCTGACTCAGGGCTTGACTCAGGGATCAATCCCACAACCCATGAGACCATGACCTGAGCCGAAACCAAGAGTTGATGCTCAACCAACTGAACCACCCCAAGAGTTTTTCTTTTCCTTTTATTTATTTAAAAATTTTTTAAAGATTTTATTTATTTGACACAGAGAGAGAGAGAGCGCAAGCAGAAGGAGCAGCAGGCAGAGGGAGAAGTAGGCTCCCTGTTGAGCAAGGAGCCCGATGTAGGGCTCGATCCCAGGACCCTGGGATCATGACCTGAGCCGAAGGCAGACACTTAACCGACTGAGCCACCCAGGCACCCAGAGTTTTTTTTTTTTTAAAAAAGAAGAATGATGTTAACCTGCAAAATAGAATGATAAAGCAAAGAAACCTGAATGGAGTTAGGAACAGGGCTTCAGCCCCAGGCTGAGAAGATGCTGGTAGGACCAAGTAGGGTTTGTTAAAAAATTCACGTTTCTTCAGACTTCATGGGATCTCTAGTCCATCAACTCCTCTAACCATCAACTCCCTCATATCTTTCTTTCCTTCGCTTATGCAACCTAGATTGTATGTTTTGTTGTTTCAACCACTCTTTGTGCAAAATCCTCAACTCCTCAGCCCTTTGGTCCTTCCACCAAACCCACCTGGGGAAACTCCAATCCAACTGGCCAATCCTTCTCTTACCAAATCCACCAGGACTGCTGGATTCTGCTAGTAAAAGCCACTCAACCATTCAAATTGATATTGCTATACATTCATGGTCTCTGTGCTCATTCCAATTAAACACAGCAGATTAAACACCCACATTTACCACTATTCCTTCCTGAAACCCAACTAAAATTACATCAGTGGAATTTTAAATTCAGAAGAATAGGGGCGCCTGGGTGGCTCAGTTGTTAAGCATCTGCCTTTGGCTCGGGTCGTGATCTCAGGGTCCTGGGATCGAGCCCCACATCGGGCTCCCTGTTCTGCCGGGAGCCTGCTTCTCCCTCTCCCGCTCCCTCTGCTTGTGTTCCCTCTCTCTGTGTCAAATAAATAAATAAAATCTTTAAAAAAAATAAAAATAAAAAATAAATTCAGAAGAATAAAGCAAATGAGGAGAGATGAGAGATGTCAATAATCGCAGAAGATAGAAAGCAGATGAGAAGTGGTAACTGGTTTAGCACATGGCAGAAAGCCAAAACCAGTATGTCCTTGTAAGGCTATGCCAATGGGAAACAAGCTGGTTCTTGGGGCAGAAGCCCAGAAAGGCTCAGGAATTGGAAACATTAGCCATCTTGGAAGGCAGGAAGGATTTGTAGAAGTGTGTATAAGGAACAATTAGACCCTCACTCTCCTCCCCCTATCTATTCAGTCAGGCAACAACCCTCCTTTCCCCCTGCTTCCAAAGAAGCAAGAGATCTGTTTTCTAGAGCAACTGAAACAGGTAGGGTGGGACTTAGGGAGGCCAGGACTTAGAGACTTGAGGCACAGCAGGTGAGCATGAGGCACTGCCCCAAATACAGGAGGATTAGGAGGAAGTTACTATCAAATCAACTTCTTTCTCCTAACCAACATTCAGAACCAGTGGCCAGGGGTAAACCCTCCAGGGCCAGCAGACTAGAGGATTCCTCTCCGGAGAAATTGACCTCGATAGCCCTGGAGAAAAGACCTCCTGATGCTCTTATTTCAGTCCTCACCTGATCTCCTGGTCAGTGCTGCCCACAAGTCAATATGGCCTATCCATGCACTTCGGCCTTCCAATATGCCTTCATGCCTTCCTCTTCAATGTGAGCAACCAGCCAGCCAGAGATTACCAGACACTACAGGAAAGCCCCTAACCTGAACCACAGAGGTAAAAACAGGCAAACTGAAAAAAGGCATTTGGTTGAAGAAAAGAAATGCAGGGAGAAGAAAGCCTCAAAATTTCCAGAAGATATTGCATTCATTAAAAAATAGGTCGCCCTCAAAAAGGAATACTCAGAGAACAGCAAGAAACTCTAGGATTTTAAAAATATGACAACTGAAATGAAAAATTAGAAATAAAAAGGTGC